AAAAAAGGCAAAATAATCAAGTTTTCTGGATAAGTGTTTTAAAATATTTTAATTGCCTCAAGGGCATTCTAATTTTGGTAAAAAACTTTAGAGTATAATAAAACAACAACAAATTTCATCAAAATCGGTTCGATAGTTTTCGCAAAATAATTTTAAATTTTTTGAAATTTCAAAATGTTGCACAGCCGCAAATAAAGCATCTAGATAATTAAAATTTTTTCACATAGAAAAGACCGCTCAACCTTTCAAATGATTTTTGAAAAATTTAAATCGGTTGATTAGGACGGCCACAGTTAATACTCTTTTTTTATTTTTAAACAATTAGATTACATTTATCAATTTGCAATTTAGTTTTTTCAAAAAATTATAATTTTAAAGTACTTGGAAAGACGCTTCTTTCAAAAAAAGTCAAATTCCGTTTTTTTGGTTCTCGAGATATAAGCGGTAAAGGTTTATCGGCATTCACCGTTGATTTATAAACAATTTAGCAATGATCTTTAATCCAGTGGCTTTGTTTTTCCGAGTTCTAAGCTGGAAAAAATTTCATATCCATAAGTTATCGGCAACATAGATAAATCATCGGAAAAGCTGTCGCTCACACGCGCGAAATGTGACTCAAAACACGAAAAGTGGGGGAGGGGGATTTCGCTCAGAGACTGAATTCGGAGGTTCAAAATGCAAAGGTACGAAAAACATTGCATTATCTCGGCTTCTAATGGACCAATTTCGATCCTTTATTTTAATCCGATGTCTCGCGAGCCAAGAAATTCGAATATCGTAATGCCAACTGTCTAATTTGCACATATTTTCTTACAAAGTTTATTATTTAAGCATTAAATATATTGTATATTTTACCCTATGCTATGGCATTTTTTCCATGAAAAAATTTGTTAACGTATATATGTCAACACTCTGAATATGAATATATTTAGTTATAATTATTACAATTGTTTAAATAAATAAAACAATTTATTTTTTAATTTGGAAATTAATTTTTTTGTTAAATACAGATAAAATTAAGAAAAAATAGTACTTTAAAATTATAATTTTTGAAGAAAACTAAATTGCAAATTGATAAATGTAATCTAATTGTTTAAAAATAAAAAAAAGAGTGTTAACTTGAAAAACTTCTGTGGCCGTCGTAATTACCTAACCGATTTCAATTTTTCAAAAACCATTTGAAAAGTTGAGCGGTCTTTTCTATGTGAAAAAATTTTCAAGTATCTAGATGGTTTATTTGAGGATGTGCAACATTTTGAAAATTCGAAATTTTTTTTCAAAAAATTATTTTGCGAAAACTATCGAACCGATTTTAATGAAATTTGGTGTGTTTTTTTATTATACTCTAAAGTTTTTTTTACCAAAATTAGAATGCCCTCGGAGCAATTTAAATATTTTAAAAAATTATACAAATTATATTATTTTGCCATTCTTTCATTAATTATTGTTATTTTGCAACATCGGTAATAAATTTAAACATTTTTAACTTACAGTATATTGTACGAAATTCAATTCTAAAACATTTTTCCTCTTCAATATTCTTCCAAACTGCATAGGTTCCAAGATATAAGTAAAAATAGTAATAAAATAGGTATTTTTTAAATTTTTTAAACATTTTTGCAATTTTGAAAATGTTCCGGACCTCGCCCAGAACTAGAGATTTACACTTTTATTATGTGAGTTGTACTGAAGTATTCCAGCAAAAATTAGCTTGCCCCCTCTTACATCCAAGAAGTGGAATATTTCGACAGATCCGCCCTGGTCTAGTATGCCAATGCAATGATTTTATGTAAAGGGTATGCCAAAATTGACACTATTCCACGAAAAAATAAAATTGAATATTACAGAAAAAACGGTAAAATTGAAAAATGCCCTGTATCTTTTAAACTCATCAAGATATCGACAACAGGTTTCGCCGTTCAATTTTTCTGGAATATCGAATCCGTGGACGCTTTATCTGCTGATCTGATCTTAACTGCTATATTTCTTTATTTTCAGGAAATATGAGAAACCTTCCAAATGTGGTTGAATTTGGCCCACCCTTCACACTATAAAAATGTAAAATATTTGATATTATGTGAAAATGAGAAATAGACTGGAATATGGATTGATATAATAAAAAAATTAATTGCATTAATATTAACAATTCAGTTCATTATATCAAATTAATAGGTAATATCCCAATGCATTAGAGGTACTGATAGCGAACTAATTGAGGCAATGGATGGATAATAATATGATTTATAACAATTATTATATGAATATTATATGAAGTAGGTGACCTGAAACAAAATTTTTGTCCATCGCAAGTATCAATACCTAAGCACAAGTTAATGAATTGATGTAGAATATCTTATCAACGTTTTGTTAGCTTAGCTTTTACTTTTTATCAAAGTAGTAGTTAACGTTATATACTCAAATATGTTATGTTACTAGGTTAAAAAATTTTAAATGATGTCTTTACTTCTCTCTAAATAGATAGAATTTTGCGAAACAGAAATAGTTCTGTAACAACATAACAGAAATTTCAAAGTTTCGGCTATTATCTTTGTAGATTAACATTTTACATCAATCGGTACAGTTGTTCTAAGCAGATATGCAGTTTTTTCCTTTCTATTACCACTGAGAATGCAACGAAAATTATTTAAATATGATGTATTTATTTAAGCACCCTACATTTTATTTGAAACACGTGAAAATTTGAGAAGTTTTGAATATAACATTATTTGCTATAAATGTTATATTCTTGACTTACTGACGCAAAAGCTTTTAAATCAACATAACATTAAAATGTACTGGCGTTTATTACCTGACATCAATACAATAACCCAGGACTAAACCATCGAAATGAAAACTTAGTTTTAAAAAATTTTGATATTTGACCTTTTTTGTTTGAAAATCAAATTACTTTACAATTTTTCATCACATTTAACGTACAGCTAATATTCCAGACGATTTTATTAATTTTACAGTCACCTCTAATTGTATGGTAATGATTATATCAATATACAATATGTAAAGATAACCAGCGACGTATCGACATTGATATAATGCACTAAACATAGTAGTAATCAACAGTGGTACATTACCATAATGAAATAAAGCATCGGTTGAAAATTAGTCTTCAAAATTATAGCCGTTTCCAATATATTTACGTCAATGTTCCGTTTTGCGTAAAGTTTACAATTTAAATCTTGTCATTTAACGACTATATTTTTTTAAGTGAACATAATCAACATTATCCGATTTCAATGTGAATGTAGAAGTGATTCGATACACTGAAAATATTTATCTTACCTTCGTAAATAATTTATTGTAATGGGAACCATGCGAAACAACAGTTTCGGCTTGAAAATAGTATATAACCCAGATGACTACAATGTACTATACATAATCATGTACCATAAATTTTACTTAGGGGGTGTAGTTAAAATAGGGAAATGGAAAAGGTAATAAGAAAGATATATATAAAGTTATATCTACAGTAAGTAGTTTCCCGGGTTTCTCAGGAACTGAGACGATAATTATTTTCAAGTATAATTATGTTACGATCTAATTAGAATGCGTACTTTTGAAAAAGTAATTCGTCATATTAAAAGATTATTGCCAAATGTATGGCCAGTTATTTGGCGAAGAATAACCCCAATAAAATGTTAAGCTAAACATTTTTAAATGTTTCTGTATATTCACATCCCATTTAATTTCTAGGTTGTATAGTTTCATCCCCTTTATTTAATTCGGACCTCCAACACATTTACTGGCGATATTTTAAATTTAATAAATCGGATTATCAGACTAGAACCGCTTTATAAAATCAATTCCACACGTCTGTTAAATGTATAAGTTCTCACTTAGCTATTAAAATTATTGTGCAAGTTAATCAAATTTCACTCATTTTTGCAATGTTCTTATAAAAGCTATTAATTAAATTACATTCACTACCTACTATTACCTAAATACTATTTATATACACCAAAAAAATTATTTTCTAATGAGAACTAGTTTGAAACCGTATATCTCTGGTGGTTTGGCTGACGAATGATTCTAGCAGCTGTATACTAGATATTAGTGGTATAATATAACTACTTCTTTCCCGCAATATTATCAGTTTGAATTATATTATTTATGAAAAAAGAGTGTTTACAAGGATCACAAAATGATTGTGTAATAAAGTGCATATTGTGCAGCGTACATATAAAATACTGGTTTTATGCATAAGCATATACGTTTCATTTCCTGCGAACAGGACTATACGAGATACATCATTTAAGAAAATGTTCTTCAGGTGGAGGTATAGTCCAGAAGTTGAAAATTCTTCGCAAAGGAGTGAACGAAAAGTTCAAATATAAAACAAAACTTTCCCAAAGTTCACTTCATCATCCTATAAGTAGGCATGGAAATATTAAAGTACCTCCTATAGGAGAATATAAAAGGAAGTTTAAATCTTTGATCAATGCCAATAATAAAACTGTCATAAACAAGCCACGAAATATAAAAAAGTAATAATATATTCAGGAGTGAAGTATTATGATGATATATTTCTTAACCACGTGACAGTTTGCTACCATTAAACTGACACACTGCCCCTCCTTTATACGTTGATAAGTTTATCGGCGTCGGTTTTTTTCAGAGTGCTATTATTAATATTAAGTTTCACAAGTCGGGAGATAAAATAGGTTTAAACATTTCTAAAATACGATTAAAATTTTTTAGATCTGAATAAAAATGATAATTTATCAAAAAAATAATTAGTATTAACAATTTTATAACGGAATGAGTAACAGTAGGAAGTATTTGCGAAATTGAGACAAAGTCGCTGTCTTCCTCAAGCATTGATAAAAATCAAAATATATTTTTGCAAAAAAGTATCTTGAATGAATTTGCACAAAATCTTCAACAGATTTTAAAAAATAGTTAACTGTTACCAAATTGATTAAATCCATCTCAAGCTCCTTCTTGATCTGATACAAGGCGAAAGGTAAAAAGATAAAACTACTTACATAACACATGAAGAACAATCTGCTCGGTGACATCCTCCCCTACTCCGTTGCTTGCCATACACTGATAGACCCCAGCCTGGTGCCTGTCAACCCTCTCCAGAGTGAGCACTGGTGTGACTGCAGTTTGAACACCATCCGGCAAGAGATTATTCTTTCTAGACCACGTAATTTTCGGAACGGGGTTTCCGGAGGCTTTGCACTCCAGCCTCACGGAAGAACCCTTTTTCACTTCCACGCGGCCGTTCGATGAAACGTAGTGTATCCGAGGGGGCACTGAAACGAAATTTGATTATTTAGAAGACAATGACACATCACATTTTCTAGAATGATTACAGTCTTTAAATCTTTAGTTTATAATAAGATTGATTGTGAGAAAAAACAAGTATATGTATTAGGTATCAAAAATTATAGTTACTTTGAACGATACATTTCATGTCGTTCAGTTGCGATCGTAGTTTATAGCAAAGCCCAGATTATAGTAATATTTACCGATTCTTCTAGAACTTCTGGTCCCAAGGTAAACTGAATATTTTCAGTATCGAAGTATGAAAAGATGAAATCGTCCCACTTCAATCAAATTGACAATAAAGGATGTGCAATATTGCGCACCTGGAGATGCTTTTACTGGGATTTATGTACGATGTGCAGTAGCAGCAGCTGAAATGCGTTTTACATATATTCACACAGATGCAGAAACCGTTGCAGGATCAATTCTCGCTCATATTTGGTTTCTTCAGAATATTCTCATATAATTCAAATTTTGTTAATTCATTGCCTTCCATTCTATAAAAACATTTCAGAGGCTATTATTGTAAGAGATGTCACTCTCTATTTTTTGTCTACATGTGAACTTTGGTTACATTTCTTGTTTTAAATTTTTAACATACTGGTGTGTTACGAAAAGAGTAATGTTTTTTTTTCTATTCGCTACCTGTACATGAAAAAATACGCAAAACTTGGAGAAAAGTGTGCCTTGCTTTCATTATTATTTGAATAAATTAAATATGGTTGTTATTCGATAGAGTGGACTGTATAAACTCTTGTGCTGATTGAATAATTTTCTTTATTTCCTGAAGGTTGTACAACTACACAAATAGATTAATAGAATTTAGAACATAATTTATTTTTCAACAACTTTTTTGTTTTTATTGCTCTGCAACCGTCTCTATACAAACTTAGATTATATAAAATGTGTTAACATACAAAATACTTTACCAATGGTCAAATAGTAGATATCTAATAATGTCATAATCTTTACGAGATTTGGAAAGTGATTTTTTAGATGTATATTAGCCCAGTTACTGTAGCTGAAAATATAGTAATACCTCCGAATTTTTTATAACTGCATCGATTTTTCTCAAAATTTAGAATTAGGCTCATCTTACCCCCCACTTCAAAACATATATATGCGCTAGGTGTGTTTTTTGTTCTTAAGAGGTGAAAAAATACAAATTTAAATCTTTTTTATTTATGCAGTATGAGTAATTTTATGTGCTATCTAACATGAAACTTATGTATCCCAAATTTTCAACCCGGAAAAACCTTTAAAAACCACCCCTTTGGATGAAAATATCATTTTTTTTTCAACATGAAACGTTTTAATCATACATTTTTATCAAATTAAAATTGATTTCTTGATTAAAAAACCTTTTTTATCGATTGCAACTTTTCCCCTTGAAAAATACCCCTTCTTTCGAAAATAAAATGAAAAAATATTATTGAGAGTAGAAACTTTTTATTTCTAAATTTATTAAATAAATATTTATTCCCATCTTATAAAATAATTTTGAATTGATTGCAACTTTCCAAACCTTATTAATTAAAACTTCAAATAACTAGATAGATATCACAGGGTCTAATGATACTTATAGTGTACGATAATTCAATAAACAAAGAAATATAGATAAAAAAAATTAGATAAATTTGGAAGGAATACACCGAAGATTAATTTTTCGAGACAAAACGTCTGAATCTGATTCGGGAAGAGGCAGTACAGTATTGGGGGTCATGAAGGCTTGCAAAAAGTGTAATAAAATGTACAGGGTCGTATTTAACAAAATGAAGTTGATGATGGTCCTGGAGAGACGAACCGTTACATATTGATTTTTAGAGACATAATGTTAGTCCCCTGATTACGCAACTTTGCCCCCAATTAAGCTAGTTCGTATCTCTTAGATACCGTTTTCGAGATCCCTGTAGTGAGAAGTGCTTCAAAATTCTTTGACCTAAATTTTCTTAAAATTATCACCTATACACGTGTTTATTTTTTAAGATTTTTAATCGCACAAAGGCTCATTTTGCAGGGAAATGTAAGGGCTACGTGAACTGTTGAGTTGCTCTTTTTTAAGCCCATTTTTAAGTTTGAAGAGTTTAAACGGCTCGAAGAGGGTAGTTCTCTCATTCATATGATAACTTAAAATGGCGATAAAAATTAAAGCGAAATCTTCAGCAAAAATATAGCTAAATTTTTTTACTCTTGTATTTTTTTCGTACACCCTTTAATTTTTAAGTTACAGCGTAAAAATCGAATTTTTTTCAAAAATTTGAAAAATTAACATTTTCAAAAATTAAGGTTTTTTCGAAATCATGCTTTGTAAGTGAGCCAAAGACCCAGAACATATTCTTAGAACATAAATGAAGAAATCTGTAAATGGATTGCATTTAATTTCAATTCTGTCGCCAAAGGCAGTGATTTGTTTATTAATTTTTTCTTAAAAAAATGAGACTATCATGTTATTTCGATTATATTTCCGTTAATTTTTATTCTAGACTTTTAAAATAGCTCATTTTAAAGGTTTTTCAAAGTACTTTAAAAAAGGTTCAAATAGTTTTTTCCTAATATTTATGGTTTTGGCGTTATTTAACGTTAACTGGTTCCAATTTAGTTTTTAGCTAACATATAATAATGTTTAAAAATCCATAACTCGGTTTATATTGCAATTAGAGAAAAACAAAATAATGCCATTAGATTTGTTTTTTTATTACTTTTCTTTTTGTTCATTACAACTTTTACGTTAAATCCAATGGTTTCAGTGTTATTTGTAAAAACCTGTCCGAAAACAAGCAGTTTCTCAGTAAAAAAATCAACATTTTCAATGACGAATTACTCGGAAAATATTGGATTATCCAAAAAACTTTAACATTTGTTACTTAAAACTGACTCCTCTATCGATTCCTGTGGTTATCTTGGGCGTAAAAATTTCCACCCCAAGAAGGGGTGGGAACCACCCCCAGGGCAAAAGCACACTTCGGTACTATATAAGTTTTGATCCTTGAGGCATTCCCCACATTAAGTCAAATTTCACGTCAATCGGTTCAGTTATAAAGAATTCGGAGGTAAAAACCCTGAGTAACTGGACTATATGTGCAGATTTCGAATCTTAAGCCGAAAATGGAATTCCACCAGAAATTTTAAAACCATCCACGAATTATTTTGCTGAAATAGAAATAAATAATTTTCAGCAATCTCCGTCATATTTTCAGGATAAAAAAATTGTAAATTTGGCGAATTAATGAAAACTGTTTATTTTCACGTGCTCTGTTACCTCTTTAAAGGAAAACATTTATTTCAGAGGCACCCTGTGTATGAAACTGTGAACTTAATTTAAATTCAATTCAGTTACGCATTTTATGTACCTAATCAGTGGTGGTAGGAGCTCTTGGAGCTCTAATTTTAAATCGAGCCGAGTTTATGTCAAAACTCCACTTAGGAGCACTTTACATAAAGGTCATGTCTTAAGTGGCAAGTTAATACACCACATATTACCCAAGTGAAGTGACTAATTCTAAATTGAAACTGAAAGCAAGCATAAAGAGGTAAGTAGATGAAGTTACGCACAAGTCCTTCATTAGCGTCATTTCCTCTCATTACAACAGAATTATCATAGAAATAGATATACTTTATTTAATTAAACGTATAATTATTTTCCACATTTTAGCGGCAGTGTGTCATATTAAATTAGTAAACAGGGAGATTTGTTGGTTGGGGTGCCTCAGGTCTAAAGACAATTAAATTAATTTAAATACCAGATGTAGTTTTGTTTGTACTTCAAACAGGCACGAAGGAAGTATTTTATTGATCTTATTTATACACCAATTCCTTTGTAATTCCATTACCCTCCCGTGAAACAGGAGCAAAATGATAGGAATGAACTGAAATAATTTGTGGCGTACTTCTTGTGGGGACTCGTATTCGTTGTAGATTGTTAATAGCAATCTAAAGATCTAGAACATAGATTACAGAAAAATCTCTAGCAAAAATACTTCAAATTTTTAAACTTATTTATATTTATTAATATTTTGGAAGGATAAAATTATTCTTAACTGTTTTAAATCTTGTACGAGTAAATTTGCCAGTGAAATTATCTTGTACCTATCATAATCTTGAACTAAATAAAATCTATTCCATCAAGAAAAGTTTCTATATAAGTGATGAAAGTTTATTTACTTCCAGATTAAGACTATGGTTTCATAAATGAATTTCCTTGCGTACATATAAATATATTATTGTTGCTTCAAGTGATATTTTTTCGTGTGTACAAGAGAATACTTGTACGGTTTCTATTTCGAATTTCCTTCACCATACACTTTATCATTGTTCCGCTGCATCAACAGGAAGTTTTTCCTCTGCAAATAAAGTAAATGCTGGGCATTATTGCATAGTGCAGAAGTTTTAACGGCCTGTAAAATGTCAAATGTCCGCTGTGTACCTTCTCTAAATATATCTCGGGAAAATATATTAAAATTACACATTGTACCACATCTGTTAATGTCACGGAAATAACGTCGATCTATAAACGTAGCTGGATTTTCCTTGGATCCAATTATTACTTCGCATGAATACCTTTCAGAAGAGGAGTTACAAAAATTGCTGGTCAAACATGATCTTGTAGAAGACGAAAGACAAATGTTTTCTCTTTAAACAGAGGTTATGACAGAGGTTACCGATTTAATATTGAAAGAGTTTTCACAAAACAAGTACCTACTGAGTTTTTAAGAAACTGCACGGATAATTACCATATTAAAGAAAAATAAATAAGGTAACAATAATAATTATTTATTAATTATTATTATATTAAGTAGCATTTTATCCATGCAAGAATGTTTAAACGCGAGAACGTAGTTCGAGCTTGTAATAATCTTAAATTAAAACACGAATGCAATACAACGTTTTATACATAATCACATCACAATCATATTTGTAGTCAGAATTATTGGAATTTAATAAAAAAAATATTCACAGGACTTTATATTTCTTACTAGTACATTCTCAA